AAAAAAAAAAAAAAGTATACAATGTAAAGTCTGCCTCCCATCCTTGTCTCCTGTCTCCCAGATGCCACCTTGCCTCCAATTGGCTATCACTGGTCTAGGTTTCTTGTCCATCCTTCCAGAGTTTCTGCTTATTTTTTCCTTTGTTTTAAAAAAAGAAATACTATATATATTTTTATAGTTTTTAAAAAACTTAACTATGTATCATAGGCATCTTTCCATATATGAGATGTGATTTAAAAAAATTTGAATGTTTAAGTGTCAAAATACACTCACTGTTTGACAAACTGGCCTCTTGTAGGAGATGGACCTTGTCAATCAGCCTGGCCTGAGCTCCTGATTGCTTCTCAAACCTTTGTGTGTGTCCAAGCTGCCACCTTTGTTCTTAGTGGCTCCCAGGAGATTAGGGTGTCCCAAAGGTGTGGAAAATGCCAACACGCCTGTTCAGGCTCCTGGAGGACTAACTGCCTGCTCCTTTAGCTCCCCATGCAGGCTCATTGGAAGCCTGCTCTTCAGGTGGCAGCTGGGAAAGTCAGGACATTAGCAGAGTAGCTCCTATCAGGGAGAAACTGGGATCCGGGGGTTTCTGCCTAATGACTTTGTGCTGAGTCAGCGGGAATAACTGCTGGGAGTGCTTGTGCACCCGTTTAGAACTGCCTCTTTGTTTTGTGTGGTCCTAGGGGACTCGGAAATGCCACCCTGTCAGCTCCCAGAACTAGGTGCTTTGGGAGCCAGTCCCTCAGGTTGTAGTCATAAAAGTAAGGGTGCTAGATGTATGGACAAGTTCCTTCAGGGAGAAGCTGGAGACTTGGTTTTTTTGTTGGAACGAGGGATTCAGGGGAAAAGGTAGGGAGATAAGGGAGTGGGGGGGGCCTGTTAGGTAAGAGGAGTGGGGGTGGAGGAAGTGCCCACCGGCTCTTTCAGGATCCTGGGAGGATCCCAGTCAGTCCCACATGCAATCCCTTTAGAAACTGGACCCTCCGGCAACAGGTAGGCAAGTATGCAGTCAGATCCCTTCCAGGGAGAAACTGGGAGATGGGGGCTTTTGCCTGCTCCCTCTGCACTGACCTGGGGTTGGGGGAGGTGAATAGCTATGGAAAGTGCTTGTGCACCTGTTTAAAAGCTGCTTTTTTGTTTACTGTGGTTCGGTGGGAGTCATGAGCTGTCAAAGCTAGGTGATTTGGGGACCCATCCCTCGGGTGGCAGCCTTAAAAGTTGGGGTGCTTGGGCCGGCCAAGTGGCTCAGTTGGTTAAGAGTTGGCTTGGGATGCCAGCTTTGATCAGCAGGGTTCTGGTTCGGATCCCACATGAGGGCCAGTGACACTGCCCTCTACAGCTAAGGTGAACAACAGCTCGACCTGGAGCTGGGCTGCCGAGAGTCGCTGGCGACGGTGTGGGCTGCAACCCATGCTGCGGTGGGCTGCCGTAAGCTACCGTGTGTGGCCGGCAGCCAACGTGAGTGGCCGGCAGCTGGTGTGAGCTGCCAAGAGCTGCCGTGAACGGCTGTCCGGAGGCCGGCGACCGATGTGCCTCACCCAGGAAGAGCACAATAATAATACCAACACGGGCCAGTGAAGCAACATCCTCCACAACTAGACTGAAGAACAAAAGGATAGCAACTTTTCTGTTCCCCTTCCCCCGATTCCCCAATAAAATCTTTAAAAAAAAAAAGTATGTTTGTTTTTGATTTGCCATTATCTATTTCAATATTGGACATCTCTTCTTGCAAATTTTAATATTAAGGTTCAGGAAATAAATATCTGCTAACTAATAATCAGTGCCAAATTATCTATTTTTACATGCTAAAAAAAGATACCTGGTAAATGCTCCCATATAATTTAAGTAAATATTTATTATGTACCTTAACAGATGTTCCTGCCTCCTATTACAAAAGTATATTATAAATAACTATTTTCTCTCTCTACAGGACAATCCTTCATACACAGGCTGTGTTTGACTTGGAATCTTCCCGTTTTTATACTCCATACAATTGACTCAGCAGGGTTTCAAGAGCAGCATTTGTACATTTCCAGGTATGAAAATTTTAAATTCTTGGTACTACACCTAACTTAAGTACACAGATAAAAAGTAGAGTTTTGCAGCTGTGGATTTTAAAAATCAGAGAATGGATTTATTGCTTGAAAATTCACTATGTAAAACATTGAACGTTCTGATTTTCTTGGCCAGGTCTCCTCATTGCCTGTTGCTAAATTTTTAATTCGTTGCCTCTTTAGTGTCTGTCTTCCATTCTACCTAATCAAAGACTCATATTACATAAGGGCTGGAGATTATCTAGATTACCTTCAATTAGCAGAGAAGGAAATTAAGCCCCGAAAGGTAAATTTACTTGTCCATGGACAGATAGCTAATTTAGTGGTAGAACTGTCAGCTCACTCCCGATAGTGGTGAAGGAGTATAGCTCAGCAGTTATGTCCTACAGCTTTGGAGTCTCTGTCTGGGTTAATACCCACCCTTTTCTGTAAAATGGGGATAATAATACCACCTACCTGATAGGTATTGTGGGGGAGATTAAAGGAGATAATGCATATCGCTTCTGTTATTATTGCCTATGGCCCTTTCATTTCTCACTGTGTTGACCCCTTCACTGCTTCTTGAAACTCCCCACCCTTGGCTAACATGTTACAGTAGTCTCCTGATTCTTCCTGTAATAAATTCTCTGTCTGTAACACTGACTCCGTTTCCCCATCTCGCTCCATAGTCATGGGCAATCCTCCCCCATGTTTCCTCTGAGCCCCTTTATCTCCATTTGCAGATATCTCCCACATTTCTATCTTCAAGCATCACTTCACCTCTGAACTTCAGGTCAGCATTTCCAGTGGCCCTCTGGACATCTCTAGCTGATTTCCCACTCACCTCAAACGCAAGGCACTTAAAACCAAAGTCATTGCTTTTCCTCTAAACCACTTCTTCCTCCTGACTTCCTAATTTCTGTTAGTGATACAACTGAACACCTCGGAATTAAAAATCACTGTGTTCTCTTTCTATCTCTCTAGTCTTCCAGAGCCAATCAGCTATCAATACCTGTGGATTTATTTCCCATTTCAGTCTTTTACATCTTTTCCTTCCTTTCCATTCCTGCCACCATCATCATGTTCAGGCCATTAACCACACTGAAAATTGGAATAGGGTAACAGTTCAGTCACCTGGAAGTAGCTTGGTTAGTTCTCTTTCTCTCCCAAGAAATACAGCTTCTTGACTTTTCCAAATGGAATGATGTCATCTTGTCACTTGTTCATGTAGCACATGAACCTTGATTTAACTAAAGACACAGAATATTATTTACTCTGAGAGCTCCCAAAATATCTTAGTCTTGAATTACAGCCTAGATTTGGCTAAATGTGAGACTGATAGTTAATATTTCACTCACCAATTTGACAAACTTGACAAATTTTTATTTTTGAATATATTAATGATTCGAAACTCAAAAAATACTTAAAAAGGTATACAGTGTAGGGCCGGCCGAGTGGCACGATGGTTAAGAACTGGCTTGGGACGCCAGAGGGNGGATCTAATGTATAACATGGTGACTATAGTTGATAACATTATTATATAATTGAAATTTTCTAAGAGAGTAAAACTTAAATGTTCTCACCTAAAAAATAAATATATGAAGTGATGAACATGTTAATTAGTAGGAGCAATCATTTCACAATGTATTTGTACTGTATGCCACATCACCACAATATACACTTTAAATACCTTATAATTTTATTTGTCAGTTATATCTCAGTGAAGCTGAAAAAAATCTGAATAACAAACACTCTGGTTCACAGGGCATAATTAATGACGGAACATTTGGAAACGGGAAAGTGGCAAAAGTTGTTTCTAAAGAATAACTCCCTTAGGGTGAGGTCTGCAATTTACTAGTTAGAATAACTCTAGTTAGAGCTGACTAGTTAGAGTAGAGCTTTGATATCCTCAGGAACACTGTAGTTTTGAAATGATCACTCTCTCTGGATACACAAATATAATGGACCAATCAAATTTTTTCTGTGTCCAACTTTGTGTAAGTTAGTATTCTGTAGGCCACAAGAAAATATGTGGTAATAAAATTCTAAGATGTTTACATTTTCTACTGAGTTAAAACTGTTTTAAAGTTGTCTGCATAATTAGTCATAATAACAATAGATATTATTATTATTACTATAATAACGGCTAACATCTGTCAAGGCCTTGTTATAAGGCAGGCACTGTTGTAAGCACTTTACTTAGATTATCTTCTTATTTACTCTGTCCCATAACTCCAAGGTATAGTTATTATTACTGTTCCCATTTTACAGGTGAAGAAACTGAGGCACAGGGATGTTAACTTCCCATGTTATCCAGTTAGTGGGTGGCAGAGCCAGAATTTGCACCAAGGCAGTGTGATTCCAAAGCCTGTACCCCTAGCATGTTGCCCAATACTGCTGCTCTTAGGCTACTTACTCATCCTTCCACTTAAATTTTGAGGCAAATGATGTACTGATATGTCATCTGGGCCCAGTTTCAGGAAAGAGGAACCACTCTAGTGTTTTAATTTGTTTACTAAAGGGAATTGAATGCTTACAAAATCATTGGAAGGGCTGGGAGGAGTGGGGTCCAGGCTGGGCCTTCAGAAATTATTCCCAGAACCAGACCGCCAAACCAGTTCCTGCAGGGGAGGGAACCTCTGGCACTGCTGAGTTCCCTGTGGCATTGCTAGCTGCAATTCAAGGGTCAAGAAATTGCTACCTTGAAACTGCCCCTCAAACTAGTTGAAACTAGCCACCAACTAGTGATGGCTGTCTCCACCAAACTTGTGTCTTGCCAGCCATGACGCTCTGGACTTGAGAGCTGCTGCAGAAAAACCCAGTGTTTCCACAAATGGGCTTGCCAGCATTAACAGCCCAAACAGCAGAAAGATGGTTGCTACCTCATTTCTGCCTTCCGAATCTCACAGAAGAACATCTAATGAATGGGTCCCATTTCACATGAGGAAACAAATGTAAAGGAGTCTGGGAAATGTATTTTTTAATTTTCCAGGAGGAAGTTAGAAAGGGATGCTGAGGGTAAATACACAAATCTACTCTAATATCCGCTAGGGCAGAACTTGGTGGTTATTCCTAAAAATGACATTTTGTTAGTGTATACGAATGTTTAGGGCACAGACCAGGTTCAGAAATCAGTTCTCTTAAAAAGCCACAGAATTAACTTTTGATTTTCTCTATACAGACCTACTGCCCTGGACAGTACTAGTTATAGTTAGTGTGCTCTTAATTAGCATTGTTGAAATAGTGAAGCTAAAGCTATTACACCCTTTGTTGAATGCCCTCCTAGCTCTCTGTGGCTAGGAGATAAGATGAGCTCTTAGGGTAGCAAGGAGTTATTCTCAAAAATCATTTTGTTCCCCCAACTACAAAAACCTAGTTCATCCCTCAGTTTG